ATGTATAAAACCTTAATTTTCGTTCAAAACTGACATGTTTAAATTCTTGCATGGTATCTATGATGTGACCGTGAATTGTTCAATCTGTAATCATCATATACATAGATAGGCATGGTTGCTGTCTATCTTCATGTTTTTGGATTCACTTTAAACCTCCTTGTTACTATATACGTGGTACTGGGAATCAGTATTTGCCTGGCGGCAGTCTTCGGGTATGGAACTAATTTTATTATTATTATTAGTCCCTTGGGTTCCTAGTGGAACATAGGGCTTCAGTAGCACGCCTCCAGTGACCTCTGTTCTCTGAGATCTTTTGAACCTGGTTCCACGACAGCCCAGAAGCTCTCATTTCCTCCTCGCACGACCTCCTCCATGTCACCCTCGGACGTCCAACTCGTCGCTTCCCATGGGGATTCCACTCGAGGGCCTGACGCGTGATGTCCTCAGTCGGCCTTCTCAGTGTATGCCCAATCCATCTCCACTTCTTCCTGCATATTTGTTGCGTGATAGGTTCTTGGTTGGTTCGTTCCCAGAGTTCCTTGTTGCTTATTTTTTCTGGCCATCTGATCTTCAGCAGCGAGCGTAAGCAGTTGTTGATGAATGTCTGTAGTTTATTGGAAATGCCTTTCGTGACGCGCCAAGTCTCTGAGCCATACAAGAGCACTGACTTGACGTTGGTGTTGAAAATCCGTATCTTGTTCCGCATGCTGAGTGCAGAAGATCTCCACACTGGTTTCAGGCTAATGAATGCCTGTCTTGCTTTTCCGATTCTGACTTTGACGTCCTCGTCCGTCCCGCCTGTAGTTGAAACAGTGCTTCCTAGATAAGTGAAGGAGGTTACTTCCTTCAAGTTTCTACCGTTGACGGTGATTGGAGTTTGTTGTTGTTGTTGATGGTGGTGGTGCGGTATCTTCATCACTTCTGTCTTCTCTATATTCACCTGAAGTCCCGTCTTAGCTGCCTCCTCTGTCAACTTGTTAGTTTTTGCCTGCAGATCTTCAAGTTTATGTGACATTAGGCATAAGTCATCGGCGAAATCCAAGTCTTCTAGGTTCTTTTCCGTCGTCCAGTGTATCCCCCTCTTCTCGCTGCCTACTGTTTGCTGCATGATCCAGTCCACCACAATTAGGAATATCATGGGGGATAGTAGGCAACCTTGTTTCACTCCTGTCTTCACTTCAAAGGCATCACTGAGCTTCCCATTGTGGATTACTTGGCATGTGGCATCTTCATATAGTTGTTGAATGAGGCGGATAAAGGTTTGCGGTACTCCGTAGTATTGAAGCAGTTTCCAAATTACTTCTCGGTCGACGCTGTCAAAGGCCTTCTCAAAGTCGATGAAGTTGAGGTATAGAGCTGATTGCCATTCTACGCTCTGTTCTATGATGATACGAAGCGTTGCAATTTGGTCAGCACATGATTTGTACTTCCTGAAGCCTGCCTGTTCCGGTCGCAGTTTTGAATCCAGTGCGTCTTTAAGCCTCTCCAGGATGATGCGGCTTAATATTTTACTTGGGGTGGATAGGAGAGTGATTCCTCGCCAGTTCTTGCAAGCACTGAGGTCTCCCTTCTTCGGCAGTTTGACAAGGTAACCCTTCTTCCAATCGTCAGGTACCTTCTCTTCCCTCCACACCTTCTGCAATAGTGGTGTGAGCATGTCCGCTGTTGTCTCTGCATCTGTTCTCAGTGCTTCTGGCGGTATTCCATCTGGTCCTGCTGCTTTCCCGCATTTCAGTAGCTTTATGGCGTTCAGGACTTCCATTTTCGTTGGGGGATTTATGTTCACTTGTAATTCAGCGGCTGCAGGTGGTATTTCTGGACGAAGTGCAGGTGGTGGTCGATTCAAGAGCTTCTTGAAGTGGTCGGCCCATCGTTTCCTCTGTTTCTCTTCTTTTGTAATTAAATTTCCTTCTTCATCTTTTATTGGTTTCATCTGTGTTGGTCTCTTCCCTGATAGCAACCTGGTTATTTGATACAATGTCGTCAGGTCTCTCTTACCTGCAGCCTGTTCTGCTTCACTTGCCAGTGTGTCGTAGAAGTGTCGTTTGTCTTTGCGTGCACTCTTCTTCACTTCTTTATCCAGTGTTTTATACATTGTGCTCAGTTCCTCTTGTCGTTGAGCATCCTTGCACTGGTTTATCTTCTGCTTCACCATCCTCCTCTCCTCTATCAGCTTCCAGGTATCCGTCGAGATCCATTCCTTGTCTTCTTTCTTCTTCCTTCCTAATACTGTTGTGCAGGTTTCTTTCCACATAGCTTTCAAAGACTTCCAGTGTTCTTCTACACAGGTTTCTTCAGGGATGTCCCTCGACGTCTCCCATTTTGTCTTGATGGCTGCTTTGAAGATCTCCTTTGTAGTTTCATCCTTCAGTTTCCGAGTGTTGTACTTGAATTGAGGTCTATCACCAGCTTCCTTGAAGGCTTTTAACTTGATTTGGAAGGTTCCTTGCACTAGATAGTGGTCTGAACCTACATCTGCTCCTCTTCTTGACCTTGTGTTAAGTAGACTGCGTCTCCATTTTCTTGAGATTGAGATAAAGTCGATTTGGTTTTTAGTGTGTCCATCTGGTGAAATCCATGTCGCTTTGTGGATATCCTTGTGCCTGAACACACTGCCTCCAATCACCAAATCGTTGAATGCACAGAATTCTGCAAACAATTCTCCATTCTCATTCATTTCACCTAGCGCCTCTCGACCCATGGTTAGTTCTCTTCCCGTGTTGTCCCCTCCCAGTTTGGCATTCATGTCGCCCATTAGAATTTTGATATCGCCAACTGACGTCTTGTCCAGTGTTGACTGAAGTTGTCTGTAGAATTCCTCCTTTTTCTCTTGCTCTGCATTATTTGTAGGTGCATAACATTGTATGATTGTGACCTTTCTTCCTTTTGAGTTGAATCTTGCTGTCATGATCCTGGAGGAGATTGGTTCCCACTGCATGAGAGCCTTCGATGCTCTTGAGGACATCATGATAGCCACTCCCTCAGTGTGCTCGTGGTTGGCGTCTGGGTGACCGGAGTAGATTATTGATTCTCCCGTTGACAGTTTGGAGAGTCCACTCCCATTCCATCTGCTTTCGCAAATCCCAAGCACTTCGATGTTATACCTTCTCATCTCCTTTGCAATCTGGGCTGCCTTACTGGGTTCAAACATCGTGCGGACATTCCATGTCCCCACGTTTACTTTCGCTTTCATCGAGAGAAGACACATCGGCCAATTGGCTTCCCGAAGGCTTTCACCAACTGGCGTCATTTCGCCTCTCCGATTCCAGCGGGGAATAAGTTTGTTTTCATTTTTTATATTTTGTTTGTGCTTTGAAGTTTCTTTAGCGGTTAGATTTGTTTTACGGGGTAGGGTTGCTAGCCCTATGCCCAACCTTCCCTCTTTACCCGGGCTTAGGACCGGCTAGTAACTAGTAAACTAGTTAACCAGGCGAGGTTATGGAACTAATGGAACTGAGTTATTTTGCTGCCGACAAATAGCTACACAAATCCAAAATATGAAACCTGAATGCAAGAGCAAGACATAATCGTCATTGACTTTATGAATACTATTTAAGAATATAAGTCACTAGCGTTGAGCCAGAGATGATATAAAACGGTACTTGTTTATCACCCCTGAATCATATTAGCAATAAATAGAGTGATTCTCTAAATATCAACACATCGTTGATACATATATGAAAGTACATAAATATTTGTATAAATGAGTACTTTTCCGCAACATATTATCTTTCTTAGCCATTTTCCAGTATACATTTATACAACATTATCTCCAGATCCCCTTAATCTTGGTTTCCTATCGGTCTATTACAGTTATGACACTGCTTGGCAGAGTTTAAAGTTAGGTTCATACAGAAGTTATGTGGAAATAATTTCTCCTGTTTTTCCCCTCTTCAGCACACATAAGTTAATTACGTATCACTCAAGCAGACAGAATTCCAATTAATTCTCATGTTAATACAAAATCTGAACTGTTTCGACTGAAAACAACTCATTAGATAGCAATGTTATACTTGGTAAAAAATGACTATAATTGAGCGGTTCCAAATAACTTTTAAACATCACCACATAGTTTCTAATATGATTGATTTTGTATGCGATGAAAACATTTTGTCTAGTGAGCTAAATTCCTTTTTATTCCTATCACAGCATAATTTAGAGTATTTGAAAAAATATGCAACCTGTATGCTTAGCTTCGTACCCACTAATTTTGTGTTGTCGTATATTGCTCATATATCAGCTGTAAGTTAATGGTTTTTGAAAAGCGACATCTAACTAGCGCTTGTGTCTTTTATGGTGTTATTAAAAGTGACTTCAGAGTTGATGTATTTATGGAAGGCTACTGATTAAGGAAGACGTTTAAAGTTAAATAAATGAACTTTTGATTGATCTCCATTTTACCTTCCACATAGAATAACATACTATTTTTATGTGAAAGAGTAACAAAACAGTTAAACAGCAACTTCTAGTATCCCACTTTTTGTCAGTTATGTCGCACATCGTACTACACTGAAGTCTTAAAAAACTATGGCATTCTATTGAGTGATGCTTACCATCGATTTCTGTTACAACAACAGTTAGTTTTACAACCAGGCTACAGTTGAAATTTTTTAGTGGATTATTAGTTAAATTCGGAACTTCGTATTTAATTTTATTCGATCACGCTGTTATAATACGTCTATTGCTTTTAACTGGGATTTAATTAAAGTAGTTAACCAATGATTTTCTGCCCTAAATGAAATGCTTGCTTTTTAACTAACTTTCAAAAAACATACTCCTAGGTTATTTATGAAGTCAGTGTTAAGAATACGTAGATTAACAAATATGAACGTTGCTGGACTAATTAAAGTTCTATTTTATCAGTTATTATTATGGTAATGATGAATTTCTTATGTTAATAAGCATTTATTCTGATCATCCTGCTTCTCAGAAAGAAAAAATTCAAGACCAAATATTCCTTTGGTACTTATTCATTTCCATTTTTATTAATATAGATTTGTATGTTAGAATTTGGATCACTGACATATGATAAGACACAAATGGACATTCTATGGTGGATTCCAGATTCTCCGCCCATGGTTGAAATGCCCTACCTTGACTTTTCTGATTATGTACCAAGTAATGAGTGGCGTACAGATGGTGAAAAAGAACGGGAAGTACACCACATCAATCGCACTATACAAATTCGATCCGTCAAAAAGCATCGACGTCGAAGTCAAACTGTTGGCAATGAAGTAGTAACATTAGAGTATCCAGTTCTACGTTATCTGATCCGTTTGAGACGAAATCCAAGCTTTTATGTATTTATGTTAGTGATTCCATGCGTGCTGTTATCATCATTAACGTTGGTTGTATTTTGGTTACCTCCAGAATCTCCAGCAAAAATGATGCTTGGTAGGTACATTTATTTATCCACATAAATCATATTGTGTAAAAGGTAGGAAATCTTATCCTCTTGATCACCCATAGGACAATTTAATGTTATAATCCGAATTTGCGTTTTGTTCAAAATTCCTCAAATTATAACGCGCAAGAATTATAAGATTGATGACATTTTACTTGTAAGCTTTAAAAAGCATCGGTTAGGAAATGTCAATTTGACCAGTTCAGCTATCCAAAACACTTTTAGTTACAGGAAATATCATGAACTTATAAGAGCTTATAGCATTTTATTCAAGACGCACATTAAACTGGAAGAATAAGTTGAAACTTAATATAGGCGTAAAACTTGGGCACTGTGGTAGAATTTAACTCCATATTAGATTTACATATTTGAATTATAACACACGGTGATATAGTATTATTTACTTGATGACGTTTCGAGCATAAACTATTGCTCATAATCATATCAATGTAATCACACAACCTTCGACATTTGATTTTTATGGTTATGTCACATAAATGCCGTAAGCTGGTAATTTTTATTGAATATGTACCTTAAGATCTTTTGTGTAGTCTATCTATGTAACATAGTCCACACAGCTACAAGTTCTGTTATGTCCCTAATCTGATGATTTGGCCGTTTCTACTGGTCCTAACTTCGTTTCAGGTTTTCAACTTAGGTATATGGTTAACACGTGACTCTAAAATCCACCCTAACAACAACTGAAAAAAGAAAGAAACTAAACTCCTGAGTTCTATTAAAATCTGCCTTTCCAGCAGAAATAGGAAAATTTAATTGGCCATTTCAGTCGCTGCTACGTTACCCTAGAGTCACTCTGAATAATGGGAAATAGCTTTTAAAAGGCTTCCGTAATAACTGCCAATATAACTGATTACAATTTTTTATTTTATCCAAAACTAAATCCCCAACTAAAATACCGGTTGGTTATTTCAGCTGTTGCTAATTCAACATTTAAGTTACTGTGGCCGAACACTGGCCCTGACTATCGTTATTACTTCATGTTACATTGTTCAGATTGATCTTGCAACCACTAATTTCACACTAGCTGATGCGCAGAGTAGACAAACTTAGTGACTCTAAAGTTCACCCTATCAACTACTAAGATAAACAATCAGGTTTCTATATTTCTTGAAAAAAATACTGTCCCTGACAAAACATTGGAATCTGACCCTACCAGAGCTGACCAGATGGAAAAACAGAGACTGAACTTAAACCACTGTTGAAGTTTCACAGTTCTACTCTAAAGAGTAGCATATCCACTCCTTCCAAAAGATTCTGGCATTGAAAGACACTATTGCGAAAAAATCTGGGATGAAGATGAATAAAACTTTTGTTATATACTAGGGCTGATTTTCCAGGACTACGTTAATGACTGCACAATGACATCCATATGATCCCATATAGACTACCAGGAAATCGACATTACATACTTACTGTATCCATTATCAGCAAACAGTCTTATCTACACGGCACCTAGTAAGTGTACAGAACTATTCAGCCCAAAAGACTGAGGAAATCCAGACGTTACAAGTAAATACTAAGAATTCATGTTGGAAAGTGTTACTCAGTTGACTTTCTACGATCAAAGGAAATTATTAGCATACTTAATTGTGGCTGATATTGCCATACACCACTTCCACTTTCAGAGCATAAAAGTTGACCTGCTTTTCCATGGTTCACTGTTATATAGGATAATATTTTGTTGACCCCTGAAGGAGAAGATGGGTTTAGCCCAAACGACAGCCTGATCATAACCCAGAATATAGTTTCAAAGACATTCGGTTGGTAGATGGCTTCAATATAGCTTTTCTTAATTCAAACTAGGAATCGCTGAGTAAGGCATTTGTAATGGTTGGGTCAGAGGCTTTCGCTTACTCAAACCCTTCATAACTTGATGAAAATTGCGCAAGGAAAACGTCATTTATCTGAGTTGAGACAAACAAACTTCAACCAGTCAAGTGACAGGGCATCCCAGTTTATAAAAAAGAATTCACCCTTGTTTTTATTCAGGTTGTAATCCTTTAGGACAAGACAGAGGCAGTTATTCACATTGTTTCTCTTCCCTCTTATTTCTAATTTCAAGTGAAATTTCCGGTCTGACAACACATACACAAACTAGTGCTAACTGGAATTCACTCAATTTATGCAACGTTGGTTCTAGTGGTCATTACCTCGGGTTTGATACTAACGCATTTTAACTTTTCTAGGTGGACTAATATTCTCAGTATGTCTTGTCCCAGAAAGCTGATTTCGCTCCTTCACTTACTGTGAAATAATTGGATGTATGAGTGCAGCTTCGTCTAGTCAACATAAGGTAATATTAAACCATTCCATATGACTGGTAAAGCTCCTTTAACCTCTTATCATCATGCAGGGTTTTGTAATCGTAATTCAAAAGACAGAAATTCTCTATGTAATCATCACAGCAATTTGAAAGCTCCATCTCTTTGACGATATATGAAGTTTCTGGATTGAACATAACTGTTTTTTGAGGTGTATTAATTTCAAATGTAACGAATCTGAAGACGCAATCTACCTTAATTCCAGGTTTCCCTTAACTGCTCAATTAGTAGCAAGTTACTTCAATAGGTTTCAAATATTCAAGCGATCACAATTTCGTTAGCAAAATGGAGTATTTGACCTTTGTGCTTCCTTTATTACGTGCATGCTTCTGTAATTAATTATAAAGGCCAATTTCTATATTTATAAATAATAGCTCAAGATGAGGTATGACTGAAGGAGTACAAATGATGTAAATATGAAATTTTACGGACCTACCGTTTTAGTAAGTTCAGGTCCACGTAGGATTTAAACCAATGGTCCACTGATTACTCGTCTCCTCTAATTTAGCGGTAAGGGAAACTGTTAACCATATCTTAATTTGATTCCCTAAACCAAAACTGTTGTGTCTGTCATATAAGTGACAGTTTATTTCTGTTCAGATTTTAAAGAAAATGACTAACCCTGACCTTGAACGAAACTTATTCAGCATGCGTCATATTGTTCGTCGTTCGTAAGTAATCAGCTGATTGTTTGGTATTTTAAGGATGTAATTCCAAAATTGTCTTTTTCTATTGAGCAGTCTGGTATCGACAGACAGTGATCAGCAAAAATGACAAGTCAAACCAACGTTGACAAAAGAGCAGGATGACTCACTTCACTGAAGTTTATAATTAAGGCATGAGGCTATAAATGTGTACTTGGAACGATTGCATTTGGCTACTAATTACATGAACTGGTCACTAGTAAGTTACTGACGTGGCTGTTTAGTCCTTACTCCTCAACAATTACTGGGATCTGTTGGTCAGTTTTGCAGTTTGACTATTAACCCAAGTGACTGGGCATTCCAGGGACCTGTGTTTAGGTGCTATGTGCCGGGATTCAATTTACAGGAATTTTAGGACTAAATAGCTTGGGATTGAAGCCTATTACTTCAGTACTGCATGATTCAACTCTAGACAACTTGCGTAAAACCACTGTCCGCATGGTTGTAGACATGTGCAGCTGATGAGTACCAACAAGTATGAAACCCAGGTTCAGGGGTTCGTTTCGACTTACTATTGTCGTCTAACATTAAATACAAATCGCCCTAATTCAAAAGAAACAAAATCGACGATTTATGAATCACTTTTCATTTCGCACCTGTATTTTCTTTGTTTATCACCACCAAGAACTTTAGAGTTCTCGGTAGGTATATAACCGTTAGGCTTCTAATCCTTCAGGTGGGTTTTCTTCTGCATGCACATGCTCATGGTTCTCAATTAGAAGTTTTCGGATCATCGACAGACATTTGATCACCCAGCACTTTGTTTGTCTCATCTAAGATGGGTACAGCGCATGACCACCAAGCGTTACTATGACTACATTTTTAGCACCTTATAGAAAGAAACTAAAGCTCAATGCTTCATGGTGAAAATTGCTTATGGAATAAATATCTGTTTATCAGCTGATAAAGTGAGGTTACCATTTTACGTCTCACTATATATTTGTAAGCAGTTTACCGTAAAATATGACACTGAAAACATATTCCTTCAGAAACTATCCCCATTAAAATACTTAACAAGGAAATGTGTTGAAAACCGCTTCAGATCAGTCGAACTGCTGAGTCGGAAGTTTATGAATTCCAAGCTATTTCTAAAAACTAGATGAGGTGTTCAAACATCACGCACTACAACTACAAATCACAGCAAGAAGCCAGTTATTGTGTGCACCTGAAGACCTGTAGATATAACCACCTTATATGAATCAACCTAAGGTAGGATATTAATTTAAGAAGAAACCAGCAAAAAAGATTGCACTATCGCTTCAACCATTCCGTTCAACATGGTTTCATTGAACTTGTCCAGTGCTTCAGATGAATATAAGGAAGTGTCCAAGAGTCTGGACGTTAATTCTCATATCTTTGAAAAAGTTGAAAATTGGCTGGAACAATCCATAAACCAAGAGTATATTCTGCAGACCTTAAATGTTTTCCTCAAATTAGTCTGTTTTACTTTCTGTATTTGATTATATAGTGGGTTTAATATAAAACGGGGAATCAAATCCTGCTTAAGGTATCGTAACAACTCAAGGTGACCGGTGAACACATAAACAGAACTTCACTTATGAGAACGATTAACTTTGAAATAAGACTTCATATAATTGCCATTCTCCTGTTTGTAGTCGTGACGGCCAAGGGTAGTGGTACTTAAAGAGTTGAGAGGGAGTTTTGAGCATTCATAGTCCTCAGTGTTTATGTTACCTTAAACATCTTGCGTTATCGAATCTGGTGTTGTAAACACGTCGTTTGTGACATAGTCTATTGCAAAATGTTAGTTCATCAATTCGTGATAGTTCTAGTCCTCCAACTACATCAGACATGCCTATGGTCCAAAAAAGCACTATTACTCTTCTCTCTTATCCTATACCTTAATATTTCAATTTACATCTGAAAATTGTATCTACATTTTCAAACTCAATCTTCGCATTCTCATTATCATCTCAGAACTTCCATACGTTTTACTCATGGCTCGAAATACTATAACTAATTCAAGAATAAATTTTTATGAGGTAGATTTTGAGATCCTAGCTGTTCAGAATTTAGAATGACAATCAAAAGGGAAAGAATAGCAAATGCTGGCTTTCAACTAAAACATATTTTTAAAACCCTAAAAACAGATTTCGCATCAGAGACACCCAAAAATATACTGTAAAATGTTTCACACCATCCAAATCCGAGTACGGTATACTGACTCACCTAGTAACTTGCCTTAATAATCACTGTGCGAATTTGATTGAGAGAATTAAATCAGCTGAGTACAATATGGTATGACCTGTTTATTACTTTCCGGTGAATAGTTTACGTTAATCTTGTCTTCATATTACCTCGGAAATTTTTGTTACTTTCAGCCTGAAAACTGTATCATTACTACTGCACAGAGTAAAACTTTGACGTCATTGGGAAAGTAATTTTCTTTTTGCAGTATTTTGTGATACACATTAATGTGATAACTTGTCATTGATATAATCTTTCAATCATATACTCATTTAGTCTGTCTTTTCCAAGTAGTTTTTCTTAGGCTTAACTTCTGTGATTGTCTTGCCAAGTAAGAATTCATTTTCATCTTCCCTACTGACCATCTAGTATTTTTACATGATGGCCATGGCATAACTTTTGCAATCATGACTAACAGGATAATTGCTTCAAGTTGAGATTTTATAATAGGGAGCTGCCGATCTAGCTTTTACAGTTGTTAACACCCGCCAAGAAGACAAATCTGCAACGTTCAAGAGAAACATGCACCTTGATAGATGTGAACCCATAATACTCAGTGGTAATACAAGAGAAGTTAACATCCAACTACAAAGGAAGCCGCTAAAATTAACTGCCAAGATTTCTTTTTATTAGTCGTCTGTTTTAGCTCAATTACTTAGCCTTTCCTGTGTTTACTTGATTATCAGATTCCAATTTCTAAATCATTTTCCAATATTTCGTTTCACTCAAATCTAAACTTCACTTATCAGTGTATTAAACTGAAAGTGATTATCATTTCTCTAGCATGTATAATATTTCAGCAGAACTAAATTCACAGGTATATGAAAAGGCTTTCATTATTTTGGGAAACTAAAAGATGTTTCAGACTTTCAGTTCATTTCATCAGTGTACTATCAATGTAAATATTAAAAATTACAATCCGCTACAAGAAACTTAGCATAACCAAAACCATGTTATCAAAATAATTGTTGTTACAAAAGTATTATTAAGTAAAAAAACGATAATGAGCTCCAAAAAATTTTTTCATTCCTAAATCTTCGAATTATGTTTAATTTGAATCGGAAAAATACTACTTCTACTTTATCTTTATTGAATTTGAAATGCTGTCCCAAGCTTTTGTAGTTGGTTCATTCCTTCATTAGATTCTGAGACTTCACTGAATTCAGTGTCCTCACTTATATTTTGAATCTAATTAAGCAGTTAAGTACACTAGTACTGATCTCAGCATCTGCCCTCAGACATCCAAAGAACACAAAGTTATCTGTAATTATCACATAAAAACTATGAACTACCTTGAATTTAAAATAAATTTAGTGTCTCTAGAGTTCGGTATGTGTTATATTTTTAGCGTTTTAATTGAAGAAAAAAGGGATATCCTATAGAAGTTCACGTTACAGTTATTTGGATCTTCAGATAAACTTCTAGCAGTTCAACTATTTAAGATGCTGAGCAAGACCTATATGAAAGTCTAGACCAGTTATATCTACATTATTGAATGAAAAATGAAAATCTCTCATATAATTTTACTGAAGTACTACAATATACATATTTAAGTCATATATTAAGAAATAAACAAAATAATAATAATAAGATCATACATTATATTTATAGAAGTCTCATAAAAACTTACTTTGGAAATAGTTATGAAGACAGGTCAGTGGTACTTACATCAGAATACTGAAATGAATTCGCGAGTTATATATACTTAATAGTTTCAAGAAAAGAAACTGGCGGATAGGAATCAGTCGATAAGAACTACCTTTGTAAGATTCGGTCAACAATTGAATCAGAAGAGAATCAGTTTACAGTATTATAAGAAACATCAATATCAGCTAGAATGATGTACCATAGAATGGAGAAAGCATGTCTGCAATTTCTCAGATCACCGCAACAAAGTTTTATTCACTAATTGTCAATCTATATTTGGAGTTATTATCTATAAGTTTGTTTGATAAAGTATCTAAATAGTCGAATCATAAACTTTGTAATTATTTCGATTAACTCTAAGTATGCAATTAATGTGGATCCAGAAAATCATTTTTACTTGATGATTGATACATAAGATCAACTTATAGATTTTACAAATCTGCACTAAACTGTTTCAGACATGCACACAAATAATTGACTAGAAAATGTTTCAACCAATTCCTACTCATTCACCTGAAATATTTTTAAATTTCACTTTTTTTTGACAGGTATGAATATATTTGTGGCATTTTTCGTTTTATTACTTCTACTTGCCGAATCCACCCCGAGCGCCGTGAAAAATTTTCCATTAATAGGTGAACGCAAAAGCCAGTTCTTTCAGTAAAATAATTTATATTTTCTTGTGATAAATTTCAGTTTGTTTTATTGTTCATAACTGTGATCCTAATTCCCATGCTATGAAGCAATATGATATAATTTATATATTGTTAAAAAATGTAATGAACGATTGTTGAAAAATATCAGTTGGTTTACTACAGGAATTGGCTTTAACTGATTGCCGAACAAAAAAATATAAGGCACACATTAATATGGATTTGATAATAAGGTGCATTGATTGAGATGGGTGATCAATACTGCAATTACACAATGCGTGAAGATATTTTTCAGTAATTCTAGAATGTCGTTTTTTCCAACTTCAACTCTCAGTGTCTTCACTGAAACATTTATTCAATCACTGTGTAAATATTTAAATCATGAACAGTCTTAAAACTCACCTTTGAAGAAGTTCTCGCCTTCTGAAGCATTACGAAGCATGTTACGCTCGTACGACTTTGAAACGGTAGAAAATATTTGTAGCTCAGATGAGGGATCTTAGTTGTGTCCAGTTCTTTGGGCTGAGTGGCTTAATCGTGAAGGTTCCATTGTCTATCTAGCCGATATCAGCACTCCAACCAACTAAAATCTATCAAAATGGACAGTGATGGTTGGCCTCCAGCTTGGTGGCCACACTGCGTAATGGTCGATAGAATTCTGTCATCACTCAGAACTAGAAAACATGAAACTGTCTTTCTTACTTAATTCACTTTTCAAACTAGAGGAACTGTACGACTTAAATCACCGTAGCGTTGATAATTTAATCAGATTCAAACGGTATGTCTCAAACACACTGGTAATTACTCAGAGATAAACTTTGTCGTAATTTTCCTTTAACAATGCATCCTGATAATTGATAGTCCTATTTATATTATCTTTTGGGGTTGGTTACCTTTCTAACTTAAATGACAGAATTATACACTATGTACTGGTATAAATACATGGTAGTAACCAAGCGAAGATTTAATTATTAGGCTATAAGTAATATCTAATCTGTGAGGAATTATGGTACAACGATCGAGTGGTAGAGACTCAAGTTAGTCAAGTGTGTAAACCTATTCATCACTGGTTGGCATTAAAGTGCTTAGACCACATCTTCACAGGTATCTTCGGAGTACTGTTATGACTCAGTAAAAAATACTAGGAGGAAAATTTACGCTCTCACTTTATCTTCTTTCCGAGCATTTCCAGTTTTTCAATGATTGCACAACAGCACTAGGTCTTTTGCTGTTACCTCAGTACTGATCTGTATCCTATACTTGTTTCGATCTAGCTTTTCGTTTTCCTTTGACTGATGTCTGTAGTGAAACCTCCGGTAAGGTTTCTAAATCCCTGAACAATATATCAAGTGTTTCCGAGTTGAGTAGGAAGTTTTAAAAACTACTCTCATTCTCGGAAGTCTATATCAATCACAGAATTCTTTCTTTAAGAAGTGGATTTTTCCAAAAACGCATATTATTTATTTTTCAAATGATGTACACGAATTACTTCATCATTTTTCTTTTAAAATGATTGTATTTTCAACTTTCTTGAATCCATCAACTTCAGGTAAACCATTAAAATCCCCTGGAATAGTATTTTGGCTTCACTTCATTACTTTCCATCTGAAGACTCAACATCATCACTAAATGACATATATGCAGGAAGTAATTTTTTCAGCAAAACAATTTAAGTATTATTTTTACCTGTAAATAGAGATAATTTCTGAATAATGTGGTTCAGCCAGTACAGTTTCTTATGAATCTGTTTCTCTAATCACTAAATCCAGGTAGACCAAATACGAGGTTCACTGATATTAAGTTGACTCGATGATACACTGTCTGCAAAGACGAAGATTAGTTTTAGGGTATCATCTTCTAAGTAGCAGTAATGCTAATAAAGTACATGGTTCACTTGAATTGGTTTTAGAAGAAAGAAACACAGTTGGTCACAGCTTACTTGGCTAGAAGAACATCAGATGGTAAAAGGGTGGTTAAATGACCGTTTTCGGTGAATTTTAACTTCATACCCAGTTATGCTGAGTCCGAAATCATCCACCTAGGTTCTGTCTGATATTTCCCATTCATTTTGCTTGAATTTCGACTGACAGTGTTACGTAGCATGAACTTCATTAACACCTTTGGCCTGTAACTGCTTTATTTAGATTCCAACTGAAAAATCTAGGCAACCAATCCATGAAAAATATATTGCACATTCATGAAGGAGGTTATCGATAAAAATTCATCTTACATTGGTTGGTTACAAAACAGCAACAGAAGTTATTATATCTGTCTCAAACTGGTGACCGAATCCAATTGGTCAGGTCTGTAATGTGATTTCCAGCCTAAAAGCACTCACCATTAAGATTCGTTTGGATTGGCATTAAGAGGATTGAAAATAATCAGTTTGAAGACTTCTTCTACCTAGGTTTAATGCTTGCTGACACTTGTCAGAGAGATGTATCTGCAAACTAGGGAGAACTAGAGCTCCCTCAGATATTTAACTCAGTATCACCAAATGGTGTAGTCAGCGACGTCACGACTGAGGTACGTAAACGCAGACATCAAACTATATCTTGATAACATGACCAACGGTTAACTGAGAGGTGGTTATGATTTAAGAAAAGTAGTACGAAACTATCCATTGGATCCTTTTAAGTATAAATAACCTTCCTATGAGTTTAAAGTGAAATGATTTTACAGTTTACTTTTTTGAATATTAAGACTTGTCAATACTCATTGTTCATTGGCTTGGACCGAAACAATGGCATATGAGGCTGTATGTGGATGCGTCGGAACGATGATGTTCCCGCTTACACTGAAACCTGCCATCTTTCACTTCGAACTCCAGAGCGTTATACACTAGTCTACTAAGTGACTATAGTTATAATCAAACCATACCCATCCCAGAAGGTGTGATCATCCTAACTCAATAATCGGGTGGGTAAGGCTGAGGTATTTGAAGCCATCAGTGCTGGATTCGAGTCTAAGCTGGAACACCATGACCCATTTGAACACAGTATCCAGCCGACGAGTCCTAAACTGGACGAAATGCGCATCATGGATTCCACTGGTAGGCGCTACCCATCTTTAATTATATTCCTTGTCTAGCATGGCTCAGTATCTGCTAAATAGCAGTTTTGACGGAATATGTGCTTAAATTATTGGGGTTGAATAATATAATCAAAGTTTTCATAAAAGAATAAATATCACCCATAAGAAATGAAGACCATTTGACCTAACCACTTTAGTCGAATATTCACCTAACTTTGTCAGTACTTGAACCTCTTAAATTCTGTCTCTTATTGTTATAACTGTGCATTTCAAATGAAACTTTAGGATGTGAAAAATGCCCAGTGCTCCTGACTTTTTATGGTTTTCCAGGTAATTTCAATCTGTACAAAAAACTAACTTGAAACAGAAAGACTGTAGTAATGTGTTGTAAAGGTAAAAGTATATTCTTATGCAGCAGTTTCCACCACTGACTGATATCAGGTAGAGAACTACTGAAAACTTTGGAGTATCAAAAAGCTTTTTGACCATACTTTAGGGCTTCTCAGCAGTATATACCCATGACCCCATTGGGTCAACTAAGTCATCTCTGAGAACAGATAACTACTGATAGCAGACAATGGTTGTTATGCACCACATAATGCCAGAGGTTGGCTGAACTAAACTAATGGAACCCTACTAAGTGGCATGGTGAGACCTCAGTGTCGTGGATGCGCACTGCTGTTAAGTTGCATACTAGGATAAAACGTTGTCCTATGCTCTTGCGTTTTCCGTAGTTTCCCAAACGGTATCAATCTCTGACGGAAACTACTTTGAAATCAAGCAATACTGAGAACTGAATTACTTTTTAATTGTTGTCATTCACAATGAAATTAATACTTTTTCATTTCTTTTATTTAACTTTAGGTGTATTTTATTGTTTAAATATGATTATGATCACACTGTCAACATTTTTAGCAACTATGGTAATTCATCTATACTTCCGTGGTGATCGTAAAGGCCCAGTACCGATTCTTCTGCGCCGAGTAAGCATTATTTTCAGCAAAAAGAAATAATTTTCTCATATTTTTCTTTCGTGAAATCACTGAATGGTTTGTAGTCTTCTTAAGCTGTTGTATGGGGCAAATAATATACAAGGTAAGGCTTATTTTCTAGCAAAAGTAAAATAAAATATTAACTGTCAGAAAAATGCGGGATTTCAATATGCATAACGTAGTCAACAGTTCCTTCGCTGGTATGTGAGACAAGACTTCCTTGATAAACTTTTGTTCATACTCATAATCTTACATCACAGTCATGAATATACATTTACATCTGTACGGATAGGGATTTCAAGAGTTAAGACTACGAAGCCAAACATACTTAGACACATGTAGAGGTATACTTAAAGTATATTTCAAAACCCCATTTGAATATCACGTTTTTCAGGCAGAAGTCTGTAGGATAAACAAATTGTTGGATAATTACACACCGGTTAAATTATGGTGCAAACCAATCTTAATGTTCGGGTTTTGAAGATACTTTAACTCTTGTATTGCCAGAGAAAGTTATTTTTAATTCTCAGTTACTAGAACAATGAATAAATGATCAGGATTTAAGAAAATTAGTGTAGGAGGTTTTGTGACTTAGATATTCCAGTTTAAGTTGACTTAAAATATTTCGTTTCAGACATTAATTTGTATGATCAAAGTGTGTACTGAACATTATTTTATGGCTGTTTTTCATCAAAGATTTATATAATCAGGGTTTAAATCCACAAATAGTTTATTTGAATATTTATCGAACAAAATAGACACCAGATTAAACTGTATAATTTCACATAAATGTACAGTTAATTGTGAGTGAATTAAAATACAGTACTTACTAGTTCATTTGTTTCTTCTTCCAGATTGTCATAGAAGGAATTGGACGGCTAACATTAGTACGACAAAGAGTGCCTTTACCAGATGTAAGGAATTCAACAAGGAATATGGTCACAAAGTATCATAGAAAAGTCTACACCTCCAAAATTTCCCCTCACAAGTTTTCAACATGTGGTCAAACCAGATATCAAAACGAACGGAATCGATATTTTGCGGGCGGATTTTTCCCATCATGCGATGACAGTGGAAACCATCCAGTTTGTGGAGATCATTATTTGAAGAATGTAGCTGCAAACTGGTTTGGTTCAAATGAATACCAAACTGTCAATCGACATCCTGGAAAATTCTGCCCACATGTGATGGGAGCAATGATCAAACGTGATCATCAAATACCAGAAAACATGGAACGAGGTTCTTTTTATGAAAATGGATTCAAATATTTGCCCTGTGAAACAGTGAACTGTGACGAAACTGAAGTTATCAGTTCGACAACAACGCTAGAAAGTGATGTGAGAGAACTAAAGAAATACGTCAAAATTATTGTTAACCGACAGAAGGAGGTGGCGCGTAAAAGTTTACTGGCTATGGAGTGGCGTACATTGGCAATAGTGCTAGATCGCCTATTTTTCTTTATCTACATCACCACTATTGTGATAGCAGCGGTTGTTTCAGTACCACGAAATACTGAAGCAGAAGTACCAGCAGAATTTCGAGATTCTGAAGAATGAATCAGCATTATAACTTTTGGTTTATGCAGATAACTAATATTTTGTCCTCAAACATCATTGAATTAACCCACACCACTCTTTCGTGTTTTAAGAATTAAATAAAAATAAATCAGTTATACATTTAACGATATTTTTAATTCCCCATCGTTATGCTTGATGGGACAACCTCGCCCGGTTAACTAGTTCACTAGTCACTAGCCAGTCCTAAGCCCAGGTAAGGAGGGAAGATTGGGCATAGGGTTAGCAACCCTACCCCAAAAAACAAATACAACCACTAAAGAAACTTCAAAGCACAAACAAAATATAAAAAAATAATAACAGAATTATTCCTCGCTGGAATTGGGGTGGCGAAGTGACGCCGGTGGGTGAAAGCCTTCAGGAAGCCAATTAGCCGCGCCAATGTGTCTTCTCTCGATGAAAGAGAAAGTAAATGTGGGGATATGGGATGTCCGCACAATGTTTGAACCCAGCAAGGCAGCCCAGATTTCCAAACGAGATGAGAAGGTATCACACTGAAGTGTTAGGAATTCGCGAAAGCAGATGGAATGGGAGTGGACTCTCCAAACTGTCAACTGGAGAATCAATAATCTACTCGGATATTGTCACCCAGAGGACACGACGACCACGAGCACACTGAGTAATGGGAGTGGCTATTATGATGTCCCCAACAGCATCGAAGGCTCTCTCTCATGCAGTGAGAACCAATCTCCTCCTCCAGGATCATGACAGCAAGATGGATTCAACTCAGAAGGAAGGAAGGAAGGTCACAATCATACAGTGCTACACGCACCTACAAACAATGCAGATGCAGAGAAGAAGGAGGAATTCTACAGACAACTGCAATCAACACTGGACAAGACGTCACCCCAGATGGCGATATCAAAATTCTAATTGGTGGGGTGATATGAATGCCAAACTGGGAGCGGACAACACAGAAAGAGAACTAACCATGAGTTGAGAAGCTCTCGGTGAGGTGATGAACGAGAATGGAGAATTGTTTGCAGAATTCTGTGCATCCAATGATTCGGTGATTCGAGGCAGTGTGTTCTAGCACAAGGATATCCACAAAGCGACATGGAGTTGATTTCACCAGACACCAGGACACACTACACTAAAAATCAGATCGACTTTATCTCAATCTCAGTAAAGAGGAGATGCAGTCTACTTAACGCAAGGGCAAGAAGAGGAGCAGATGTAAGTTCACACCACTCACTTCACTACCTAGTGCAAGGAACCTTCCATATCAAGTTGAAAGCCCTCAGGGAAGCTGGTGATAGACAGATCACAGTTGAAGTACAACACTCGGAAACTGAAGGATGAAACTACAAAGGAGATCTTCACGGCAGCCGTCAAGACAAAATAGGAGATATCGAGCAGCATCCCCGAAGAAACCTGTGTGGAAGAACACTGGAAGTCTTTGAAAGCTATGTGGAAAGAAACCTGCACAACCGTATTAGGAAGGAAGAAGAAAGAAGATAAGGAATGGATCTCGATGGACATATTGAAGTAGATAGAGGAGGGAGAGGAAGATGGTGATGGTGGAGCAGAAGATGAACTAGTGCAAGGATGTACAAGGAGAAGAGGAACTGAGTACAATGTATAAAACAGTACACTGGACAAAGAAGTGAAGAGGAGTGCGCGCAAAGACAAAAGACACTTCTACGACACACTGGCAAGTGAAGCAGAACAGGTTGCAGGTAGGCGAGACAGAGACCTGACAACATTGTATCAAATAACCAGGTTGCTACTTGGGAGGGAAGAGATCAACATAGATGAAACTAATAAAAGATGATGACGGAAATTGAATTAGTAAAGAATAGAGACAGAGGAAACGATGGGCCGTCCACTTCGAAAAGCTCTTGAATCGACCACTATCTGCACTTCTTCCAGAAATGCCACCTGCAGCCACAGAACTACCAGTGAACACAAATCCCCCAACAAAAATCGAAGTCCTGAGCGCCGTAAAGCTACTGAAGTGCGGGAAAGCAGCAGGACTAGATGGAATCCTGCCAGAAGAACTGAGAACAAACGCAGGGACAACAGCAGCGGACATGCTCACACCACACCACTATTGCAGAAGGTGTGGAAGGAAGGGAAGGTGCCTGCCTGTCGATTGGAAGAAGGGCTACCTTGTCAAACTACCGATGAAGGGCGACCTAAGTGTTTGCAGGAAGTGGCGCGGGATCACGCTACTGTCCACACCCACCCAGAGCAAGCAAAATATTAAGCCGCATCATCCTGGAGAGACTAAAGTATTCAAAACTACGACCGTACCAGGCAGGCTTCAGGAAGTACAAATCATGTGTGGATCAAGTTGCGACGCTACGCTTCACATCATCATAGAACAGAGTATAGAATGGCAGTCAACTCAATTCTCTACCTCAACTTCATCTACTTTGAAGAAGCCTTTAACAGCGTCGACCGAGAGGGAATTTGGAAACTGCTTCAATACTACCGAATACAGCAAACCTTTATCCGCCTCATTCAACAGCTATATGAAGATGCCACATGCCAAGTAATTGACAATGGGTAGCTCAGTGATGCCTTTGAAGTGAAGTGAAGACAGGAGTGAAACAAGGTTGCCTACTATCCCCCATGATATTCCTGATTGTGGTTGACTGGACTGGATCATGCAGCAAACAGTGGGGAGCTGTGAGAAGAGGGGGATACACTGTTTGACCGCGGAAAAGAACCTAGAAGACTTGGATTTCGCCGATGACTTGTGCCTGATGTCACACAAACTGGAAGATCTACAGACGAAAACTAACAAGTTGACAGAAGAGGCAAGGCGGGGCAGCGAAGACGGGACTTCAAGTGAATATAGAGAAGACAGAAGTGATGAAGATACCCAACCAACAACACCACCAATAACAACAAACTCCAATCACCATCAATGGGAGAAACTTAAAGGAAGTAGCCTCCTTCACCTATCTAGGCAGCACTGTTTCAACTACAGGTGGCGACACAGACGAGGATGTCAAAGCCAGCCAGGATCGGAAAGCCAGCAAGACAGGCGTTCATTAGCCTGAAACCAGTGTGGAGATCTTCTGCACTGCACTCAGCATGTGGAACAAGGTCAGGATTTTCAACACCAATGTCAAGTCATTGCTTCTACATGGTTTAGAGACTTGGTGTGTTACGAAAGGCATTTCCAACAAACTACAGACATTTATCAACAACTGCCTACGTTGGCTGGCTACTGAAGATCGGATGTTCAGAAATAATAAGCAACAAGTAACTCCAGCCGGGTAACGAACCAACCCAGAACCTATCGCTGAACAAATATGCACTGGAAGGAAGTGGAGATGGATTGTGCATAGACTGAGAAGGCCGACTGGGGACATCAAGCGTCAAGCCAGTTGCTCGAGTGGAACCCAGAAGGGAAGCGACAAGTTGGGCGTCCTAGCTGAGGGTGACATGTAGGAGATTGTGCGAGGAGGAAATGAGAGCTTGTGGGCTGTCGTGGAGCCAGGTTGAAAAGATTTTAGAGAACGGAGAGCATTGGAGACGTGCTACTGAAGCCCTATGTTCCATTAGGAACCCAAGGGACAAATAATAATAATGCTTGATGGAACTGCTCAACTTCTATTGGCACCTGGACATTTTGGCGTGTTCCGATTATTATTATTATTGTTATTATTATTATTATTATTATTATTATTATTATTATTATTATTATTATTATTATTATTATTATTATTATTTGTCCCTAGGGCTCCTGGTGGAACATAGGGCATCGGTAGCATGTCGCCATTTCACTTTGTTCTCTTTAGTCTTTTGAACTTCGCTACACGACTATCCAGAAGATTTCAGTTTTTCCTCACACGATCTCCACCATGTCACCCTCGCTTCGGACACGCAACTCGTCGTTTCCCCTTGGGGTTCCACTTGACGTCCTCACCTGGCGCGTGGTGTCCCGGAATGGACTCTTCAATGTATGTACAATTCATCTCCACTTTCTTCTGCATATTTGTTGGGCGATGTGTTTTTGGTTGGTTGGTTGACAGAGTTCCTTGTTGCTTATTCTTATTATTCTGTCTATCTGATCTTCAGCATTGAGCAAAGACAGCTGTTGATGTAACGTGTCTATAGTTTGTTGGATCCAGATCTTGTTGTTCATGCTGAGTGCAGTAGATCTCCATACTGATTTCAAATTAATGAAAGCCTGTCTTGCTGTCTCTCTGATCCTGGTCTTGACATCCTCGTCTGTGCCGCCTGTAGTTGAAACGATGCTGCCTTGCCTAGGTAGGTGAAAGAGACAACTTTCCTTTAGGTTACTCCCGTTCATGTTAGTTGGTGCCCATTGTTGTTGATGCTGTTGTTGGTTGCGTACCTTCATCACCTCCGTCTTCTTCCTCTACATTCACTTGAAGTCCAGTTCCAGCTGACTTGCTTCTTTTCTCAACTTGTTAGTTTTCGCCTGTAGATCTTCGAGCTTGTGCGACGAGACATTTGACATAAATCATCATCAGTGAAATCCAAATCTCCTCCTGGAGTCTTTTCATAAGTCCACCCAGTATAGGCTCATCTTCTCACTCCTCAAAGTTGTCTGATACATGACCCAGTCGACCACAATCAGTAAGCTCAGGGTTGACAGCAGGCAGCCTCGTATAACTCCCGTTCCCTGTCTTCGCTTCAAGGGTGTCACCGAGCTTTCCATTATGAATGCCTCGGTATGTGGTCTCATCATATTGCTGTTAAATGAGGTTGATCAAGGTTTGGTGTACCAAAACCGTAGTGTTGAAGCAGCTGCCTGCCAAATTACTTCTCGGTCGACACTGTCGAAGGCCTTTCCAAAATCGATGAAGTTGAGGTTGAGTCGAGTTGACTGTCATTCTACGCTCTGTTCCATGATGATGCGTAACGTAGCATTGCAATTTGATCCACACATGATTTGTTCTTCCTGAAGCCAGCCAACCAGCAGACCAGACCGTTCCGGTCGTAATTTTGAATCCAGAGAATCTTTTAGTCTCTCCAGGATGATCCGGCCTAATATCTTACTTGGGGTGGACAGCAGCATGATTCCTCGCCAGTCCTTGCAAATACTCAGGTCACCCTTCTTTGCGAGTTTGACAAGGTAGCCCTTCTTCCAGTCGACAGGCAGGTACCTTTCCTTCCTTCCCTGCTTCCAAACCTACTTCAATAGTGATATCAGCATGTCTGCTGTTGTCTCTGCACCTGGAGGAATTCCATCCGGTTTTGCTGCTTTCCCGAATTTCAGCAGTTTTATGGCATTCACGACTTCACTTCTGCTCTTGTAGGAGGGTCTATGTTCACTGGTAGTTCTGTGGCTGGGCTGCTGGTGGTATTTCTGGACGAGTTGCAGGTGGTGGTGGTCAGCCCATCGTTTCCATTGTTTCTCCTCTTTGCTAACTAGCTTCCCTTCACTAACTTTCATTGCTTTCGCATGTGCTGTGTTGATCTCTTCCCTCCCAGATAGTAACCTGGTTATTTGATTTGGGGGTTGTCAGGTCTCTATCTCTCCTATCTGCCGCCTGTTCTGCTTCACTTGCCAGTGTGTCGTGGAAGTATCTTTTGTCTCTGCGCGCACTCTTCTTCACTTCTTTGTCCATTGTAGTGTTTTATAGGTTGTGTTCAGCTCCCCTCTTCGCTCTTCATCCCTGCACTGCACTCCACTGCACTGGTTCATCTTCTGCTTCACCTTATGTTTCACCATCTTCCTCTCCTTCCTCTATCGGCTTCCATATGTCCGTCGAGATCCATTCCTTGTCCTGCCTCTTCTTCTTCCTTCCTTCCTTCCTAACACGGTTATGCAGGATCCCTTCCACACAGCTTTCAAAGAGTTCCAGTGTTCTTCCACGCAGGTTCCTTCAGGGATGTGGCTCAATGTCTCCCATCTTGTTCTGATGACTGGCTGACTGACTGACTTTCTGATGTGAAGATGTGCTTTGTAGTTTCGTCCTTCACTTCACTTCAGTTCAGTTCAGTTGAGTTCAGTTCAGTTTCTGTTCTGGGTGGTAGTTGAACTTGAACTGTGGTCTATCGTCACCATCTTCTTTGAAGGCTTTCAACTTGATATGGAAGGTAGGTTCCTTGCACTAGATAGTGAAGTGAGTGGTGTGAACCTACATACATCTGCTCCGCTTCTTCATCTGATCTGGTGTCAAGTAGGCTGCGTCTCCACCTTCTCCACATTGAGATGAAGTCGATGTGATTTTTAGTGTGTCTTGGTGTCTGGTGAAGTCAAATCCATGTCACTGCCTTGTGAATATCCCTGTGTTTGTACACACTGCCTCGCTTCCAATCACCAAATCATTAAGTGAGCAGAAGTCTGCATACAGTTCTCCATTCTCATTCATCATTTTACCGAGTGCTTCTCGACCCATAATTGGTTCTCTTCCCGTGTTGTCTGCTCCCATTTTCACATTCATGTTGCCCGTTTGAATTTTGACGTCACCATAGCCAACTAGGGTGGAGTCTTGTCTGTCTAGTACTGATTGCAGTTGTCTGTAGAATTCCTCCTCCTTCTCTTCATCTGCATTATTTGTAGGTGCATAGCGTAGCGTATCATTGAATGATTGTGACTTTCTTTCCTTTTGAGTTGAACCCATCTGGCTGTCATGATGCTGTTCCCGCAGGAGGAGATTGGTTCCCACTGTACGAGAGAGAGCTTTCGATGCTGTTGGGGGCATCATGATAGCCACTCGAAAACTCAGTGTGCTGGTGGTTGTCTTCGGGGTGACGATATCGGAGTAGATTATTGACTCTACAGTTGACAGTTTGGAGAGTCCACTCCCATTCCATCTGCAGATTCCAAGCACTTCCATGCCATACCTCTTGATCTCTTTTGCGATCAGGGCAGTCTTGCTAGGTTCATACATGGTGTGGACATTGCATGTCCCCGTGCTTACTTCTGCTTTAATCGAGAGAGGAGAATAGAAGACATTGGCCGACTGGCTTCCCGAAGTCTTTCATTTCGTTTCTCTTATTGCAGCGAGGAATAAGTTTGTCTTGTATTTTTTTATAATTTCTTTGTGCTTTGAAGTTTCTTTAGTGATTGGATTGGTTTTCCGGGGTAGGTTTGCTAGTCCTATGCCCAACCTTCCCTCTTTATCCAGATTTGTGTCAGGCTAGTAAACTAGTGAACTGTAACCTAGGCGAGGTTCAGGAATCTGTAGGATAAGAAGAAATGCGATATTATTTCGGGAACATTATATTAATTTTATTATCGTATACTGGGGCTCGTTAATGTGGTTAGCCAGGCGTGATGAAACTTTCAGAAGTTTTACTGGTGGATGCTTTTTTGGTTTTCAATTGCATACCTCATAACTAATTTCTGATAACTGTACACGATACAATATGCTGAAAATATTTCCAGCTGCTCTAGTGTAGCCATTTACATCTATGCTTTTATTGTATTTTTCCTACTTATATTATCTTGGGTTTTTGGCATTGTTTTAACTGTATCGATGCTGAAATCTTTAAACTTTCACAATCAGGACTTTTCAAATGTAAGGTTTTAGGTGCCACTGGTCTTCTTATGCCTTCTTATTCACTCATTTTTTTATTTGACGATGTTTGGCAGTGGAATCCAGGACGCGCGTTTCGTTCATCTAGCTTATGGGTCCCAAATAGGAAGAAATGCGCATTGGGTTTAGTGTTATAGACAATGGTGCTTAATATTTTCTGGATTTATGAAGCATATTAATAAGGTAGCATAAGTTTATTGGAACAAGTGAATTGATAACGCTTGCTTTTTGTGTAATTTTTGGTTATCTGTGTTTATATTGTAGGTTTCTTATCAAAATGCTTGGTGATTAAGTTGACCTTAACTTTATAAATGTGATAGGTGC